CCCAGGATCTGGCTTCTCCTTCTGGGCTTCGTCCCTGGTTCGCAGGGGGACCGACTCCCAGGCTGGACACCCTCCGGGCCCCCCTTTCTTGGCTTTAGGTGCGCTTTTGCGTCTTTCTCAGCGGCACTTGGCAAAAAATAGAAAGAGAAAATTGGCCTGAGGACCGGGTCCGCAAACCCAGATCCGGGGCTCAGGGGGTTAGAGCCTCCCCAGGCCCCCGGTCCCCTGCAGCATCCTTGCAGGCTCTCCGGGAGGACGGCTGCCTCCCTCCGCTCGCCTTCTCTCGCAGCCTAGCCCTCCTCTACCACTGGGCTGCGCACGGGGTACTCCGGGCCTCGCTGCAGCAAAGATTTCTCACCAGCCAACAGCCCGGGAATCTGGAGTACGGAAGATGGGAATGGAAGAGGTGCTGGGGCTCTGGTTGGGAGAAGAGTCCCAAAGAGGAGCAAAGAGCCCAGGCTAAAGAGGAAACAATGGTGGGGCAAAAGAGGGGGGCAGTTAAGGCTTGGGAAAGAACCTGAGAAGTTGAAAGAGCCTGGAAAGAGAAGAGGGGAAGAAACGGTTCATTTAAATAACAGGCAAAGTTTAGGGTCATGAACAGGATGAAGGAGAGATTGGAAATGAAAATGGAATGGTGTCTCTAGTGTATTCACTAAAAGTCATGATGCAGAAGGAGGAATAAGAGCTGAATAAAGCAAGGGAAGTCATGAAGGACGCTATTCTTTGCAGCCCTTCCTTTAAGAATATCCTATGGCCCACATCAGGAGCAGGAGGGGCAATTGTTGAGTTCCATGCAGAAGGTGAGAAGGACCGTCTTGGGGACAGTGGACACAGATGTGTGACAGGAAAATGGGATATGTTTGTTCACCCACGTCTCTTTGGGGGCCTAAGTCGGGCTCTGGGATACTCTACCCTCAAGTCATCTCCAAGAATTCTAAAGCCCATCATTTATGGATTTGATTCTTGTTTCCACTGGCAGATGAAAATAAATTCTCGTACAAAGCTTTTGGGCTATGCCCTTACTTCCTCTCTGGGGACTGTGTTTAGGACTGTCATTGCACTTGTTTGTTGCTGCATGGGTTCTGCTCAGCACCTAGGGACAGGAACTGTGTGGCAGCAGTGAATGACAGGTTTCTGATTCCCTCTGTATGTTTGATGGGCCCCTAATCTAACACTATGAAGTCCCCAACTTGCACCAAACCGTGAGAAACATCCAAATGTATCAAAACGTCAGAATTCTTTTAAGTGCCACTCTAGTTGTTAAAAGATCATGTGGACCCTGGAACTCTGAGACATACCAGTTGCAACCAAGCATCCAAGTAGTCATTAGAATTAATATTAAGGAGCCTAGGAGCAAGTCTTTCATTAAATTTTACAAAAATATATTACCAACTGCCTATGTTTATGTGACATTATGGTTTGGAAAAGAGAAAAGATTAACTAATGGGGAATTTATCTAAGGGCCCTTAGATAAAGACATTTTAAAACAGCATACACTTAGTCCTGGAAGCCTCCTTACATTAAAGACCACGATTCCCTGCTTTTATAACTTATAAGTGATGTTTAGAAGCCTTAGAGGTTTTTCTACTTTCAGAGATCTGAATTTTGCTTTTCAAATTACAGGTTTTCAAAAAAATCTACTCTCCTGTTACATTTCACCACTGGCTGTTAAGACAAAAACAACCTAATTGTGAGTAATTGGATTATACAAATTATAAATGTCATTTTTGTTTGTAAGATTTTATTATTAAAGTCTTGCAAGTTAAATGGGGTTTGAAATGTTTTTGTTTGCCTTTTCTGTCAGTGAACACCAAGGCTGTAAACAATAGCATCCTGTTGTGTTTTTTTTTTCAGAAGAAGATAACAAAATAAGCTATGTAACATACAAGTTGAATTTAAGTGAACTTGAACTTTCTCAGCATACCAACTCATTAAATAATCACCCGTTTTGGTAGCTGGTACAGCTCTACTTGGTTTGTAAAGACAATTACTGTCTTAGTCCTATCACATTTTGAAAATTGGATTTTCATATCTTGTAACGTAATGCCACCATAGACAGGAATGCAGTAAAAGTTGAGATTTTTGAAAATAATGTCTTTTATTGGCTATTGGAAATATACACAGGAAAACATACACCAGTTCACCAATTTCTACATGAACAATTCAGAGACATTGCTCACATTCTCAGGTTGGGCAACCATTCTTACCTCATTTATCCAAATGGTTTAATTGTCACGATGACTCACTCCTGTGCTTACTAAGCATCAGGCACAAATGTTTTGTGTGTTTTTTCAAAATAGTCATTTGTTTTTTTAGTTGATTTTTTCAATCAACTCAGACCTACTTTTCTATGAACCTACAATCTATAGATAGATATACACACTGTGCTTACTAAGCATCAGGCACAAATGTTTTGTGTGTTTTTTCAAAATAGTCATTTGTTTTTTTAGTTGACTTTTTCAATCAACTCAGACCTACTTTTCTATGAACCTACAATCTATAGATAGATATACACACCCATATGCTGCACACGTACACATTCTCCGCCCCTATAATAATGCTCTCTCCCTATAATAATGTTCTCTGAGTCACAACAAAAAGGAGAGCATTTTGGAAGGAAAGAAGGCCAGGCCACATTGTACAACTCCCTAAATAACAAAAATGACAATCGGCAATGCTGAAGACAGAATGGTGAGAAATAGAATGTGGCTGGTAAAGGTAGAGTCAACACCTGCACTTTTAGTTCTAAGTGTCTAATTCTCTGAAACCTTCGCTAACTGTGACTTGTCATATGCCTCCTATTACCTTAAGTGTGAGTTTGCATATGAAAGACGACCTCACTTGAGCTTCTTTTTTGGAACAATTGTTAAAGAAGCGGTAAAATAGCCTATCACACCAATATAAACACTTCAAAGTCTATTGCGAGTTTAGAAAACCAAAGATGTGCATTTTTATTGTATTGTTTTTTTAGTTATTCTAAGTAAGTAGTTGCCTTTAACCCAAACTCTTTAATAATTTCCTTGAAAGCAAGGATGGGGAGGCTTGTTTCACCTGCTTTGGGCATGTTATTAGGAGCAACAGGTCCTTGGAGAAGGGCATCATGTTTGGTAAAGTAGAAGGTCAGTTAAAAAGAAGACCCTTGACTAGACGGGTTGACATAGTGGCTGCAGTAATGGGTTCAAACCTAACAGTTGTAAATATGACGCAGGGCCAGGCAGTGTTTTATTCTGTTGTAATCGGTCACTGTGAGTCAGAGCTGACTTCGCAAGCCCTCATAACAGCCAGAAGACATGTAGTTAAGAGTTAGAGCAAAGATAATCTGAGTGAATTGCTTTAAAGATAGGCTTTCATAATCAGAAAGGAACTCTGGTGGCATGGCTGAGATCTTCAAGGTCGGCCGTTCAAAACCACCAGCTTCTCCATGGGAGAAAGACCGGTCTTTCTCCTTGCTTTAGCACCCACAATCTCCTAAACTCACAGGGGGCAATTCTACCCTGTCCTCCAGGGACCCTGGATGATGGTGAGTTTGGTTTGGGGGTTAAGTAACCAGAAGGAGGGTGATGTCTTTCAATGGAAAAAGAAACAGGCAAACGATGAAGAAATTAACTGGTTGTCAGGGTTTCATCAAAATATTCACGCACAAATATTTATACTGTTATATTTTGAGCACTTACCATATGTGTTTAGAGTGGAAGTGCTTGAGATGTGAAAGTGAATGACACAAAATCCCTGCTATGGTTGGAGGGCATTGGAACTCATTCATACCAATGGGCCAGGTATTGTGTTATGGCTTTACATCTATCTCTTGATCTATAAATATCCTTAGGTGTCATTATTCTGATGAGGTAAGGACATGGCTCAAAGTCTTGTTATTAGTAAATGATAAAGCCAAGAGTTAGTCATGTTCCTCAGGATTTTCTGATCTCAGTGGTCAGTCAATTTTCATTAAAATCTGTTAATGGGTTGAAAGTAGAACTTGTGGTTTGAGATCTGAAAAGTAAGCTGGAAGAATCCACAAGATTTAGAAGGGTACTGTGTTCTATTCCTGAAAGATCTCAGGCTTTTCTAATGGTAATGACTGGATTCAAATTATAGGCTTCTCGCTTCCAGGTGCATTACCTTGGATATGTTATCCCATTTTCTAACAGAAGTGTGCAAATTTTGGCACAATCCTGACACAGGGTTTATTAATAAAGTGTTGCCCCAAATATGTGATTAAGGAGATTCAGAGAGCCATAGAAGAAAAACAGGGTTCCTAATAGCAGGTTTATAAGTAGCCCTGGTAGAGTACTGGATTATGAGCTGGATTGTTAACATCAACATCACTACTTCACACCCACTTGACACTCGAAGGAAGAAAGAAAAGATTGGCTGCTCCGCAGACCTTTAATGGTCTCCGAAAACCAAAGGCTGCAGATCTACTTTTTTCTTTACCCTCAGAGTGAGTAAGACTCATTCAATGGCAGTGGGTGGAACAATTAACTTAGAAGAAATTCGAGATTCTATAGAGAAAGAGAATTTGAATTCAATTTTTACAAATAGGTAGAATATATCAAAGGAGGCCTGGCTAAAGTCCTCTACTGCTAATCAAAAGGGCAGCAATTCCAACCCACTAGTCATTCCATGGAAGAAAGATCTGGCAGCGTTTTGCTGCCAGGAGTTGCAATTAACTCCTTGGAATGAATGGTGATGGT